GTCCCGGTAACGGCTGCAAGCACCTCTGAGGGAAAGCAGCCCCCAAGATCTCCCGCTTCCAGACCGTCCAGTTTCTCCCCGCTTGAGTTCTGGGTCCCCAGAGACTTCCCGGAACCGGAGTTCAGAGCCGTCGGGGGCTTGTGACTCCCTCCGGATTCAAAAGGACCGCCGCGTCCTCGGGTGCCGGCCCCTTTCCGCGCGCGAGCCCCGCGAGAGCCCCGTACCTCTGCGCTTCTCTCCTGCAGCTTCTCTGGGTCTCAGTGTGCCTTTCCTTCCTTCTAGTTGTAGAGTTTACAGTCAGCCAGGCTTCCTATGGTTCTGGATGAAGTCCGTATTGTTTCTCTGAGGTATTAATCAATTGTTGTGAGCGGCCTTAATTTCCCGGTGTTTATCTCTGCCGCCATCTTAGTTTCTCCCTCAGCCTAGAAAAGGAAAATTTAAAATTCCTTCCAGCAAATAGCTACTGAATACCCAATGTGTGCCAAACAATGTGCTAGGAACTGGAGGGCATGGGGTGGGGGTGGGGGCGCACAGGGAGAAGGAGCCCAGGCCTAATGCCCCCAGGACAGGAGAGACCTGAGAGGATGGGGGAGGAGAAGGAGGAGGAGGAGGGGCAGGGACAGGCACCACGGAGGGCTGAAGCTGAATTAACAGGTGAGTGTGGAGAGGAGCAACATTCGAGGCAGAGAAAGTAGCAAATGGTACAGACTGGGGAAGAGAAAGGCTGGGTGGGGTGCGGAGGATCCCAAAGAAGCACAGGGTGGCTGGAAAGGGGGAGAGGAGAGGTGATGAGGTTGGATAGGGGCCAGTATCTTGGGTGCCCCAGCAAGACTCATCAGAGCCCGCCTCACTGAAGGGTCCCGGTCATGAACAGGCCAACGGCTCCCCTGGTTTCCTGACAGCCCCAGTCCCCCGCTACTCCTCCCAGACTCCACTAAGTCTCCTCTCCCCAACCAGGTGACCGCCACGACTGGGCTGCGCTACCTGCACACGGCGCTGGAAAGTGTGTCCAATCCCGAAGACCCCGAGTGCCAGAGCGAGGGCTGGCTGCTGGAAAGGAGCGTGCCGGAGACCTGGAAGGCCTTTCTGGAGAGCTTGAAGAAGCTGGGCAAGAGCAACCAGGTGGAAGCCGAGGGCGCAGACGCAGAGCAGGCCCCCGAGGCTGGCTGATGGCCCCGGGTCCCCTCCCTCCCGAACACTGAGAAGTGATGGACTCCAAGAAATGCGGACACACACCCTGTTCAATCGGAAGCTCCAAAGGAGGACGGCCACCTCACAGACTCTCCCTGATGGTGGGATGGAAAGTTTAGGGTCCCTAAAAGCATCTATCAAACATTTGTTGAATGAATGACGCAAAATGTGAGTGAATGAGCCCCTTCAGGCCCACTGCTCTAGCACATGGTCTCACGGTGGCCTCGGGGGGTCTCTGGGGATGACCAGCCCACAACCTGTCTCTCTCACGGCACCCATCTCAGTTCCACCCTGAGACTTCTGGCCACACCTGAGGGCTGCTTCCCTTTGCTGCGTTTGCCATTCTAAGCTCCAAGAGGCTTCATTCTACATCCCAATGTCACCAGGTGCACAGGAGTCTGAACCAAAGTACTGGCCATGTTATCCTTTTAAAAAATGCCAGGACTGACAGGTCAGCCACTGTATTTGCTTAATGGCAGAAGGTGGGGGACAATTATACTCTTCTAAGGGTACCGGACTCTCCAAAGCAGGGAGGGCTCAAAAGAAGAATTCTCCAATGACGGGGCAAGAGCGTTTAGAGACAGAGGATTGTTTCTCCCCACCAGAAACACAGGTGAAGGCCTGCTCCGTCTCAGTCACGTGCCCTCACTTCGCCCGGAGTGAGCTACGGGTGGAGGAAGTCAAGTTGTTGTCACGTCCCAGCAGCATCCCGCCCTGAAAGGTCTGGGGGGGCTCCTCTGGCTCTGGGGGGACGGCTGCCCTTCCGTGGAAGAGGAGCAACCATCAGATGGGAGTCCACCCTTCGGAGACCAGGCCTCCCCTTGTGGTGGGCCCGGGGATGCCCGCGCAGGTGGGCGTGTCAGCCCCCGTGGGCAACACTAATTGTCTACAGTGGAGGGCAGAGTCCTCTGGGAGCTTCTTCCTGTTTCTATCCCCAGACAGCCATCCTTCAAAGCAATATTCCCGGGATGCCTCTGCATTAAAGAGGATTCTTCGAGAGCCCGTCTTCCTGAGCTAGCACTGCAACAGAAGTTCCCAGTTCCTTCAGGAGAGAGAGAGAGAGGAAGCCGGTTTAGTTGAAGCAGAGAATGATTTCACTGCCGTCCTGAGTTTCCGGGGTGGAGAAAGCGAGACTCTTGGTGCTGCCTGGGTGTGTTTTGGGCTCTAACCTTCCCAGGCTCAAGACCCAACGAAGATGTTTGGACACAGTCAGATTTTGGTCCCAGGTTTAATTTGACTCCTGATTCCTTGGGCCCCCCTTCCAGAGCCCTCTTTCCTCTCAGGAGTGCTGAGAGCCATGGGGAAAGTGCTGCTCTAGGCCAGATGTGTAACTAAGCTGTACAATAGACATTAAAATTATATTGTATGAAACCACTTTTGTGTACAGTATGAAAATGCCTATCTTAGCCCATTCAACAGCATGTATTACAGGATCCCCAACTTTACCTAATATATATATTTAATATATATTAATTTATATTTATAAATATACATATATTTAATATTTTTGATTTCAGAGATGAAGGGAAAGGGAGAGATAGAAACATCAATGATGAGAGAGAATCACTGATAGGCTGCCTCCTGCACGCTTCACACTGGGGATTGAGCCCACAACCCGGACGTGTGCCCTTGACCAGAATCAAACCCAGGACCCTTCAGTCCGCAGGCCGCCTAGGGCTCTCCCTAATATTTTTTAACAAAACCAAATCTGACACGAAACAGAAGCATTGTTCATGACCAGGGTAGCTGTGTTTCAACAGCATGGGAGTCCTCCTTCCTGCCTTCTTACTCTCTTACCTGCAAGAACAGTGACTATCAATTTATCCAAATAATCGCAACATTTTGCTAGAGTCTGGACCACAGCTGAATTTGCCTACTATTTCAATGTGTGGTATCTTACTTTAGTGATTTAAGTAAAAATTTCAAAGCATTTTCCCCCTGCTCTGGCCAAAACGTATTTCCCCAAACAGGGAAGTATGGATCTCGATGGGTCCAGGTTAGAGGGCAGATATAAGCAACTTTAGGGTCTGAGGACGAAGGACTAACTGACCCTCCAATAATGATCACCAGTTGGTTCAGAGCAGACTTAGAGGAGCTGCATCTTAACAGATCTCCTCAGGGAGCCATAGCTGCCAGAGAAAGCTGGCCCACCTCGTTTGGTCACCGGCCAGTGCCCAGTGGAACTCTGGCACCAGGTTCTCCCTGGTGTCTAACCTCAGTCTTTCCTTGGGCCAGTGCAAATTCATCTCACCCAAGGGACTCCAAGATTTCAAAGTCCTGCTAGCCTAGCCCTGGGATAGGGTGGGAGGTAAAGACAGTGCCTTAGGACTTCTATTTTTTTATTTTATTTATTTTTTAAAATGTATTTTATTGATTTTTTACAGAGAGGAAGGGAGAGGGAGTTAGAAACATCGATGAGAAAGAAACATCGGTCAGCTGCCTCCTGCATGCCCCTTACTGGGGATGTGCCCACAACCATGGTACGTACCCTTGACCGGAATCGAACCTGGGACCCTTCAGTCCGCAGGCCGACGCTCTATCCACTGAGCCAAACTGGTTAGAGCAGGACTTTTATTTTTAAAACATTCCACAGTGCAGAAGTATGCAATACTTATTCTGAACATTTAGGAAGGTGGATTTCCTGGAATTTGTGGCCTCAGCTCAATAACCCAGTCTGTTGCAATACATTGAAACCAGGACTGAGCCACCAGCAGCAAATAAACCCCGAGTGACCTCAATACGGATTGATAAGATTAGCTGCTTGCTCTGCACGCTGCCCGGCCCCTCCTCTTCTGGGACCTGTGGTGCTATGCCAGAAGGTTTGCAGCTTAGCCTGGTGGCAGGGGGGACCAAAGCAATTAGGGCCTCTGACCTGCACTAGATAAAAAGATGGCGGATGGCAGCACGGCCAGCCAGTTGTGCTGTGTTGGGAATAGGGACATGGGAGAGTGGGGATGCCTTCCCAGTCCTCAGTGGACTTGAGATTGGCTTCGAGGGAGGATATGTCAGTTCTCAACTACTGATGCACGGTCTTTCTTGTCCTCCAGAGGATGAGTATAAATAGCCAAGTTCAAAGAATGTAGTACAAGGACGGTGTGGATTAAGTTATATATAAAGGAAAACTCCTGTTTACCCAAGTGGAATGAAAACTTAGGTCCAAACAAAATCCTGTACATGAATGTTTATAGTGGCTTTATTTAAAATCACCAAAACTTTCCCAAATGTCCTTCACCTGTTAACTGCACAAGCACTACCTGGTGATGCAAACACTTGAAGATAAAGGGTGTGTGTTGTTATTTCATGTAAATTCATCTGCTGGGTGTGCACAATTCAACAGCATGTATTACAGGACTCCCAACTCTTTGGCGACCAAAGGAAATATGGATGGCCCTCAAACACATACCTCCTTCTTTTTTTTTTTTTAAATCCTCACCTGAGGATATTTTTCCATTGATTTTTAGAGAGTGGAAGGGAGATGGAAGAGAGAAACACTGATATGAAAGAGACACATCAATTAGTTGCTTCCCACATGTGCCCCCAAAAGGGCGGGAAGCCTGAAACTGAGATATGTGCCCTTGACCGGAATCGAACCTGGAACCCTACAGTCCACAGGCTGATGCTCTACCCACTGAGCCAAACTGGCTAGGGCTGCATGCCTTCTTTGTGAGAGAAAGTCTCAAAAGGTTACATAAGATAGTTATAAAACATTATGGAAGCCCTAACTGGTTTGGCTCACTGGATAGAGCGTCAGCCTGCGGACCGAAGGGTCCCAGCTTCGATTCTGGTCAAGGGCGTGTACCTTGGTTGTGGGCACATCCCCAGTGGGGAGTGTGCAGGAGGCAGCCGATCGATGTTTCTCTCTCATTGATGTTTCTCACTCTCTATACCTTCCCCTTTCTCTCTGTGAAAAATCAATAAAATATATTTTAAAAAAAATTATGGAAGAGGCAAGGCAAAGGGATGGGGAAAAAATTAGTGGTTGCCAGGGGTCAGGATGGGAGAGCTTGGGTGATGGAACTATTCTATTTCTTGATTGCGGTTGTTGTTTAACAAACCTCAAAAACCCTGGCTTGGAAAACAAGAGTAGCAACAGAGCAAGGAGTGTATCCCAGGGCTTAATGAGCCCTGGACCTGATGACACTACGACCGGGGAAGGGAGGAAGCTGAAAGCAGCATTAATGATGGGGGAAAAGGGGTAATACAATGGAAACTTGCTTTTTCAGTGTGATCCTTTCCTTTGAAGAGGATTTTAAAAAGTATAGCAGAAAAAAAAATAAGAGTACAGCCGCGTTCTCGTAGGCAATGCTTCCCTGGCACTGGATGCCACTCCTCCCCTACCTGTCTCTCTCATAAGCAGAAAGTGTCTGGCGAGTGTGTAAGAACAAGACTGGGATCAAGTGAAAAGAGTTTACACCTGGAGACAGGTCTCGGCGTTGGGAGAGACTCCCAGTGCCCCCTTTTCTCCTGCCTTGAGGTCCATAATGGTTTAGAAAGGTCACAAGCTGTCATAGCCAATTAACAGGGAAATTAATCAGCTGAAATGATGATCAAGCTTTCTATGGGAAGGTCAGGACGTCTGGCTAATGGCCATAACAGACACTAATAACATAAGCATCTTAAACGCCAGGCTAATACACATGTCCCACTTACTCGTAGGAAGGTGACATGGGGAGCACCTCCAGGGTATTTCAGTGTGAAACAACATGAACATGTAGACAGACCCAAAGTAATGTCAACACCTAAAGCATTTATTTGGATATCTTTAAGCTTTTTACATATGATACATCCCAAATTTTACAAGTTTTCCACAGATATTAAAGTTATAGCCAATTTATTAAACATATATGATTTTCCCTGATATAGAAAGCATGTTACATAAACATTTCCACAATAAACATAATACATGCGGAACAAATCATAATACTAAGATAATTCATTAGATAGGGAAGACAATTAGCTTAATGATGCAAACATTATTTCATCTTCTGAATTTATCTTCTCTCAGACTCCGACATTCTCAGAGAGTGAAATCCAGGATGACACCCTCAGTCCTAAAAGCTGGAAAATGCTCATGATTTGGTGAAAACGTCCATAATTCATTTACGAGGGAGAGACCAGACCTGGTCTTTTAAATTGAATCTTGGTGAACATTATTGAGAAAAGCCAAAAGAAGCTGGACTTAAAAGCTAAAGGAATGGGGATGTGACAAAAGCCAAAATAAACATTAATATCATTATGCCATCCATAGTCCAAACCATCCCATCTACCAATGGCAAAAGGCCAGAAAAAAGGGGCGAGCACGAGGTTCTAATCTGAATTTTCTTCCTGTTGGGTGCGAAGCGCCTCCTCTCCTCTGGGTGAGTCAGTCCCAAGCAAGAAGGGCCAGGTCATCCTTTCAGAAGACTACCGCGGAGAGGAAGCAGTGACTGCAGCTTCTGCACCCCCACTTATTTTAGCCCGAAGCTTGGATTCTAACCTTCTTCCTGGGTACACTGTGGAGTGTGTAAAGTTGAGTGTGATGGAACTTTTAGATGCAGTCCAAAAAAACCCAAAAACCGAGTGGAAGGATTACTTGCATTGGCAAAAAAAAAAAAAAAAAAAAAAAAGAAAGAAAAAAAAAAAAAAAAAAAAAAAAAAAATCCAAGAGCCTTTCTTTATTCATTTGTCCCTTAGCCTCATCTTAGAGAGGCTCCGGATTTATTCCTCCACAAAACCTGCCATCATTCTGTGCATCCAAGCTCCTGGCACATGTACACCAAACAGAGTGGCCGTGTGGTATATAATAGTTATAATCAATTTTACTAAGCGGCTATCATTCTAGGAAGGCACCTCTTAGTAAAAACAGTAATGTTTAGAAAGAATAAAAACCCTGGGCACACGGGCTGTCCCAGGAATGTACTAAGTGAGCCAGCACGTAACCAGCAATCCATCTTTCCAGGAAATGCGAGTGGGGAAGGGGGGATGGGAACTTCAAAACAGTTCTTTTTTTTCCCTGCTAGTGTTTGATTTTAGAGGCATACACTTCTCCATTTAGTCTTAGAAATAAAAGAATATATTGTCTGAAAAATAAGGATACTCTATAACTTTTCAAAAAGCCCTTTAAAATGAGTTTTTCTCTCTCAAAGACAGAAGTCTTGCCAAAGAAAATAAAATAAAAAATCCAACCTTTCACAGCTCTGAAAACCACCCAGCATTTGAAGAAACAACTGCCTCCCGTTCCTCACAGGGGTTCCTCAGGCACAAGTGCCCTCGTCCTCTGACAGACGACGCAGACAAGGGAAAGCTGCTTTCCAAATCCACTGCTTTGCTCTTAGAGGTGGGTCCGTCAGCAGAGGGGACGCCAACCTAGTCCATGTTGAGTCACTGAACAGGACTAGGACATGTGACCCCAATAGAGCAGAGACTGTTTCCTCCTGCTGGTGACTCAGCTTCAGGCACACAGTGCCCTGCCGTCAGTACTGTCACCTGGCTCAGATGACTGGGAACGGTCAGACAGACGCAGTCAGGTACCCACAGGGGGGCTGTGCCCAGCCCAGGAAGAGAAGCTTCTTGCAAGAAGTTATGTTTGAGGGATACAGCAAATGGTGCAAGAAAATATGCTGACGGAAGATGATTTTCATCAGTCCCTAGAGCCAGAAACTATAAAAATAAAACTGGGAAGAAAAGCTAACTAAAGAATTTATTTCCAAATCCAGTGGAATTGATTTCCTATTCTTTTTCTTGAAAAGCTGCTGGGTCACAAAAATCCGAGTTTATGTTTCCGGTAGCGCAGTGACTATAAATGTTGCCAGTCAATGCCAACCAGTGTCTGATTTGCTTCCTGTGCATGTCCGATTTCCTCCGTGATACTGTGCTGGTGCCAGAGCTTCTGAATCTTCTTAAATCGCTCTTTGCACAAATGTAAAGGATTCCCCCGTCTAGAAAGAAGACAGATGTCACTCTGGATGCATTCTGTTTATTCATCTACTTTATCTCAGCCTTTCCTGGTTTAGGAAAAGTTACAAGTTATTGCTTTTAGATCCTCTGCAAACTTTCTGTTTGGCAGGCGACTGTGGTTATTAAGACGTTAGTTCTGCAGGTTTGCTAGGAGGAGCTGAAAGGGAGTAAGTGCCTATACTTCCTCAGGCAGGGCTGAGCAGTAGGGTCTGGGCTGAGAAGCTAAAACTACCAATTCATTGTCCATCTCATTGGTTGAATGTAAAAAGAAGGGCGGGGCAGGGAGAGGACAGAGGGAAAGCCACAGGGGTACACGTGTTCCCCAGAGTACTATCTGTCAGCCACAAAGTCGAAGCAAAGCAACCAAATGTGAGTAACATCTGGGCCCGATGTAACCAAGCACAGGTTCTGGTGAGTTCATGCCTGGGGCCTCTGCTCCCAATTCACAGGACACTCCTCTCACTCTCTCACCAGGGCCCCTCCTAAGAGCCCACACTCCTTAGGGAACAGGAAAAACCATCACCAGGTGGCATGTGCCTACAACCTCGCAGCTAAGCACCTGGGGCAGCCCATCTACTTATTCTGCCTGTTTCCAGGCCTTGAACTTCTGAACTTCAAGGCTAGCTGGTTATATCTAGGTTAAGACTTACCTTCTTTGGGCAAAAAGAGATGGTCTAACAAATTTTGAAATAGTACTTGAGGGAACTGCTGTTAGCATTTTGCTTATAACGGAAGATATCACAGAAGTGATTAAGCCTGTTGTGTTGCTCTATATGTCCTAAATCTTTGTCCCCCAGATTCTTACGTAATAAGCCCATTTCTTATCGATGAAGATTTGCTCTCTTTAGAACACGTGAAGAGCACGGGTCTCCCCATACAAAGCCACACCAGTTCCAACGGGCTCTCCCTACAGAGCTCTGATGCCGTGGGTGCCACATGGCAATCCAAACAGTTCTGACTCTCTGGAGTGAGAAATGGGAACAAGCTGCAACCTGTCTTGTTCTTTCCTTTATCTATCCCAATGGCCCTCATGACAGTCTAAGGCAGGGGTGGGCAAACTTTTTGACTCGAGGGCCACAATGGGTTCTTAAACTGGACCGGAGGGCTGGAACAAAAGCATGGATGGAGTGTTTGTGTGAACTAATATAAATTCAAAGTAAACATCATTACATAAAAGGGTACGGTCTTTTTTTTTTTAGTTTTATTTATTTCAAATGGGCCGGATCCGGCCTGCAGGCCGTAGTTTGCCCACGGCTGGTCTAAGGGCTGGGAAAGGAAGTGCCAACCAGGAGTCCACAGATACCAGCCATCTCTGCCAGAACAGAAGCCCCGTGGCAGCCTGGGCTGTGAGCAGACCGGCCTCGGAGCCACATGGCTCACCATGTTCACCATGTACTGAAGGCTCTGGAGGCCCAGAGTCAGTGAACCCAGCCCCCCAGGATAGGGCCCTTACCTGAGTAGCTGGTCAGTCTCCCCATAGTCATCAAGGTACGGAGGAGAATAAAAACAGCCTTTGGTTTTGCCGGCTAGAAATAGCACCTGACACTCCCGTACTCTGTAGAGAGACCATTTACACGTTACACATTACAACCAGCGTTTGGCTTCAGCTCCAAATGGGTTGAAGTCTTATAAAAATAAACAGACAACAGCATTTACAGCAGAGACAGAAGAGTATCAACACATCATTCGAATCACTGAAATGACTGTACTGTAAGTCAATATAGTGAGAAAGTGGAACACTGTGGAATAAGAACTGACAGCTCCCATAATAGCAGCATTTAAAAAACTGTTAAGTGTGAGAAAGTTAACTTCTAAACATAAAATAGTTACTGGTATTTTTAACCACTATCATGAGAAAATTACCCATTAAAAAATGGTATACAAACATTCTGAATTAGGCTGACTTGAAACACAAAGCAATACTGTACATGACAAAAAGAATTTTGAAATTTGACAGACCGGGGAAAATGCTACTTGCACATTTCTCCCTAAGGGCTATTTAAAAAAGTGTCTCTTGATCCCTGACAGGTTTGCTTGACTTTTTAAAAATTGAGCTCAATTCAATAGTTATTGAGAACCTATCACATACAAGAAACTGTCAGGCAGCGAGATGACTAAGATATGGAGAGGGTCTATGCCCCGAGGAGCTCACACTCGTGTCACTTCTCTCCTTCAAACGCTGACATGGCTTTCATCTCCCTCAGAGACGACACTGGGACATGCCAGGAGCCACGAGTCTCCCCATGATTCATCCACTCCAGTGACGCCAGCCTCCTGGCTCTTTCTAACACACGGCAGGCACATTCCCCAGCCACTGTGTACGTGCTGCTCCCTTTCTAGAATGCTCTACCACTTCCTTAGGTCTTTCTTCAACTTACTTTTTCAGGGAACCTTCCCTGGTTCCCTATCTAAAATTCAACCCCCAGCTGCCATTTCCTATTCCCCTCCTTTGCACACAGCACTTTGTAAATCCTTACCAGTCTTGTTTCTCTCCTGTCTCCCTCACTAGAAGATGAGCCCAGGAAGGCGAGACTTCGGTCTGCTTTGTTGACTACTGCATTCTCAATGCCCAGGATACACAAGTCATAATAAGTATTTGTTGTATGTTGTTGAACATACACAACTATATACATTGACCTGTAATATGTCTGAATCCAAAACCATGACGATACAACAAAAGGAGTAATTGTGACTAAATCTGGGTAGAAAATCTAGTCAGGCTCCCCATGGTCTTCAAATGAATACAGTACATGCGAACAGCAGTCTGGGAATTCTCTGCAGTGCGGCAGTTTTAGTGCCACTCTTTGACAGGCATGCAGCGCAGTAGATGCAAAGCTAACAAGCTCCCTCAGGGTTCACCTACCTCAGGAAGATGCCCACTCCAGAACCACAGGAGTAGGTGTGAGCCGTGCAAGCACCCACATCCTCCCCTTCCACTTCGGCCTGGCAGCAGTAGCTCTGGGAGCACAGCAGAGTTCCACACACAAGGCACAGAGTTGGGATTCTGCTCTTATCACCGCCTGATTTGGGGCACCTCCATGGAACAACAAAAAAAAGCACAAGTCATTGCTCTACAGAAGAGGGGCTGAAGAGCTGGTGGTGGTAAAACCACTGTGGGGCCAAACTGTGCAACAGCAGGTGGAACTGAAGTTGCCTGCACCCTATGGTCCAGGAAAACTGTTTCTATACTTGGGAACACCTCACACACATATACACAAACACATGTACTGGAAACAGTCAACAGTTAGAGAAAAAAAGAAATAAACTCATCAATACGAGGACAAATATAAATTCTACTACTATTCAATTGTGAAATACTACATACAGTGAAAAGTGATGAATTAAAAGTTATATATGTCAAGTGTATAAATAAATCTTACAAACAATGCCGAGTGAAAATGGTGTAGGATATGTACAGTGCAATGTCATTTTACAGCTCAAAACATGCACAATAATAATAATAAATAAGAATGCTGCTCAGGAATATAAACATTTGCAGTTAACATGTAAATGCCCAGAAATGCTCCTATTCCATTCAGAACAGAGGATCTCTGATGCACTAGAGAAGAGATGCATACACAGCTTCAACTGTCTAGGTAACACTTAATTTTCTACACTACGGATTATTCTTTATGTTACTGGCATGTTAAATATATAATCATCTATTAAAAATTACTAAGGGCTCTTATTACTTTATACCAGGTGGGGCAAAAGTGGGTTTACAGTTGTGAGTATACAAAAGACAGTTTCTTCTTATATTATTACTTATTGTATTATTTTCCATACAAACAACTACTTTTGCCCACCCTGAAGTGCAAATTGTTATTTAGATAATCTTTAATGAACCAAACTTGTTTCCCATCAGCCCCTTTCCCAAATCTCATTCTAAAACATGGTGGAATGATGCTTTTACAAGTTAACTAGTGTAAAGAACACTGGTGTTACAATTTCCCTACCCAAACAAAACAAAACAATGAACAAAATCCCTTAATTCCGTGTAGTGTTTCCAGTGGTAGGAAATGCTCAGTTTTCTAATATCAAAACTTACGAGAAATTAGAGGCTTGATTAATGAGGCTGCTGTAATCCTCTGGAAGGTCTATCAATTTGTTAGATTCTCTTGGATAGCTTAAAAGAACACAAACATAAAACCAATTAATATGAGGTCATATCACAGCAATGACAGGATAACTCATTTGTAACTTAGTCGAAACAAATAAAGGTAGATTGAACCCGGGTGCTGAGAGCTACCACAGTGGTACATGAAACCACAGTAAAAAATTTAAAAAGTTATACTTAACATAAGACCTTAGGGTTAACATTTTTACTTGAAAAGCTCAGAATAAATCATTAGGACAGTAGACAGTATGTAGATCCTGCCCCATTTAAGTGAAAATGTGGTAACTCTGGGGAGTTGGGGGGAGGGACAGAAAAGGATATTCATTCCCAGGCTTCTACCAAAACCACCCGGTAATTGAGCCCAACCACAGAACCTAGGAGAGAGAAGACAGAAAAGGTGTGTTTATTAAAGGTGACCTTAAGGCACAATGAGTGGGAGGAGAGAAGAAGAGAACAGGTAAGTTGAGGTACCATGTCATGTTGTCAAGTTAATTCAGATACAATTTAGAACCAAATTCAATTGGTATTTGAGAGCACACTCTCAGGGTTCACACCTGCCCGAAAGGGCCATGTGGTTCAGCCCTTCCCTACTTTACCTCTGGCAGAGATAGGAGTGGACTGACACCAAGAGGGAGCTACTTGGACCACAGTACTTATACCAAAATCGCTTGAGGAAAATTTGAGGTAGAGGGACATACATGCTAGGAACCCAACTTTAGAGAAATAGATTTGGTAGGTAGGGACCCGAGTATGTGTTCAAGTTTCCAGTGTTGTTTTGATGTATACCTCAAGTTGAGAACTACTGTTCCACATCATAAGTTCTGACCGCAGGGTTGAACCAAATGAAACTGGTGGTACTCAACCATTTTTACTTCCAAAAACTGCAATTTCATATTGTTCAACCTAAAAAAATTGTGTATGTTCTCTGGATTTGGGGCAGACTGTGTATAAAATCAAAGAAATAGAACACATAATCTCCTCTAGCCCTCCGATTTTTATGAATATAGTCAGCAGAACCAAGGAGATATTAATAGATGAAATACATCAGTTATGACCTGGTAGAGCAAACTGCAGAATCAGAATAGAGCTGATGTCAAAGGAATGAAAAAAATGACTGGTCACCACTTGACAATTAGTGAAGCTGAGTAATAGATATGTGGAGTCTTATTATGCTGTTCTTTTATTTTTCTTTCAGAACTGCTTTTATTTGGATAAATGAGCCAAGGAGTCTCATTTGTAACCATGACGGAATTCACAGGATGTTGTTACATTCACACTTAAAAAATATATCTCTATGTACAGGAGTTTGCAGATAGATGTAAACATATGTTACTTTCCAAGTACATTCCTCCCCTTCTTCCCGGAGGAATGTACAACCAGGCAACTCCTTCAAATTAACTTTGATATAAAGATGTAGATATCTCAAAACAAAAAAAGGGGTTCTTCTGACTGACGGGGTTTCACAGGAGAGAACACAGAATGAAGTGATGACAACAGCTTGACTTCAGATGGAACTGGACTGTTTAAAACTGTATCTAGGAAAATCAGGCAGATTTCTGAAGGAAATTCACTCCTTATGGAAGCTATTTACTGAGCCAATGTGGCTGGTTCACACGTTCACTGGTGTAAAGTCACCTAGAGCAGGACTCTTGGCCTCAGCTGACACCAGCACAGCCGGGTGGCACGGGCACTGCCGACCGAGGCTGTCCCTACTCTAGGGATGGAGGCCCACCTGAGTTCGCCTCCTTGCTTGGTTCATGCCTTCCCGTGCTGCAACTGTCTAGCATTATACAAGATACCCTGCTGCTTACTCATTTCAACTACCCTTCAAGTTAATTAGAAAAACTTTTATTAAAATAAAGGGGGGAAAAGGCATCAGGTTATCTCATTTAGGCTGTGCGCCTCAGTCCCGACTGGAGGCATGCTAGGTGGGAGTATGTATGGGGTATGGCCAGGGGGGACAGATGGAGGTGGGTAGCTAGGTGGGGGGCAGGCCCAGGCCCGGAGGAGGGTGAGGTGGGACAGTGTGGGTGGGGGGGCAGGAAGTTTAGGTTGAAGATGGATGGAGGTGAAGGGTAGCTTGAAGTGGGGGGTGGAATGGTCGGTGGGGTAAGTAGAGAGGCTGGGGGAGGGTGCACCAGCTGTGGGGGTGGTTGGCGGGGGTAGACATGGAGATAGTAGAGCAGGTGAGCTGGTGGGCCGTAGGCTGGGGGCAGGGTGCTGTAGGAGGGGCCTTGGTCTTCATCATGGGCTGCAGGCTCTGGGAGCCCTCTCCAGACACGTAGGAGATGGTGGTGGACATTCAGTTATGTAGCTGGAGTGTAGCGATGGTGGTAGCTGGTGCACAGGGGTTCGGTGGGCCGGGGGAGGAATCTGGATTTTGGGGAGGTCAGTGGAAACCATAGGGCCTGGTGGCTTGGCCTTGCCTAAGGAGCCAAGCGGGGAGGCTTCCGGTTTGGCAGTGGGTGGGCCGGAAGCAATGGAGGGTAAGAGGCTTCAATTTAGTGGTGGTTCTGCTGCTTTGATCTTCTTTGGGAGAAACAACCGTGGCTCTTTTCACCTGGCAGGGAGGAATAGGCTACCGGGATGGCTTCTTGGGCTGCTGGGCTTGCTGTGGAGATTGCGGTGGCTGGGCTGATGGCTACAGGTCCTTGGGGGATGGTTCAGAGCCGACTGTGACGATGGCACTGGTGGCACTTGTAGTGTAGGGCTGAGTGACGGGGCTGTTGCAGCTGATGAGTCCTTGACGAGTAAAGATCCAGGATTTGGTGGCAGGTGTCTTCCAGAACATCCACAGGGCCATCTTGCACATACTGGCCCACCGTCTCCGATATATGGGTTTGGAGATTCATTCTTGTATTTCAAATTTGCATAAACATCCCGCAAGATATATCACTGCTACTGCTATGATCTCTGGTTCCCACTGCAGTGACAAGGATGTGCAGGAACTGTCATTTACAAAGGCCCACGCCATTTGAACCAACTTTTGAATTTTATCACCTTTGAGTTGTTTTGCATATTTGAGTAGGAACTAGTATAGATGTACTACCTGTAAGTCAAACTATATAGTCTGTAGTAAGATTTTCTCTAAACCCACTACTTCCTTTGGGTCATCTCCAAACTGGCCAAATTGTACATCATTTAATAGACTACAAGCTGTTTTGATGATATCTTTAATTTTTTGTGAGTTTCTTCTACTTTCCCAGCCAGAAAGAGACAACAAGCTCCTGTTACGTATCTTGGGAATTGTTTGAAGGAATGAAACACATACAAGTGATGAAAAGAAATTATTCCAGTTGCCAGAGCATTGTAGTTAGCCCCAGATGTGTGTCCACATCAAAGATGAACTCAATCCCGCCTTGGCAGTACCGGTCTTCAGTGGCCGATGGAGTCCTTCTAGCTGAGAGGGTGTACGAGCTAAGTCTTTCTTAAATCCCAGGACCAGCATGGTTTTGTGTGGTTCAGGTTTGCTGAGGTTACTGAAGGGCTTGAATTTTCTCTGTTCTCCTTCATTTATTTAAGGAGAATGTTCTTTTCAAAAGAGTCCCTGAAAATGTTAGAATCCCCTTGCCTCAGGCCCCTCAGACCTCTCTCCTTGTCAACTTTGGCCATTTTGGACGAATATTATTCTATTCTTTAAACTTTTGAATAGGTTGAAGTTTTCCATAATAAAAGAAAAAAAATAAAGCTAAGAAAAAAGTAAAAGAGGACCTACATTTTTTAAAGCAAATATTTCAAAAGATAATTTTGTTATTTGCTTCCTCTGCCAAAAATAATGCATTATATTTATGTTCCTAATTTTGATTTTTTTTACAAACTGTTGCCACCATTGGACTATGAAGAAAAAAATATGAAGACACGATGGCCTACATCTTGGACTCACTGAAGGTCAGGAAGCCAGTGCTGAAGGAACACAGTACCTGCCTCCCTGCTTCCCGCCCCACCATGTATTTGACAAAATTTAACTTACCTAATAGCATCTCTTTCACCTTCCAGATATCTTTTAACTTCAATGTGCTGACACCAACTTTAATGTAATTGGAAAAAAAGAAACAATTTTTTACTTTTGAAAGGTTAGAACTAGAAGTTTTTCTTCTCTAATTCCAGTAAGGGGGGGGAAATCTTCTTTGCTTAATATATTTAACAACTCAAAAAGAAGCTTGGAGGAATACCATATTTTGTCTGCAACTCTTAAAATAAAAAATATGACCCTATAATTTTCAAAATGAATGCTAAATATATTAAAATTTGTGGCTACATACACAGTTACCCTAATTTGGACACTCTGGAAAAACCAGTATGAATTAATGAAAACATCTT